CGATGAAACATATGTGTCCAAAAGAATATGTTATGATAAGGCATATGAACAGATTATAGGTCCTCATAAATGCGTACAAACAGTAATGGCTAGAGGTGAAGCAGTTGAAAAATCTAATAATTAAAAAAATAATAACAAATTAGTATAGTATAATATACATAATTTATTTTGTGAATAGGTTTATTAAGTAATTGGAAACAAGTGATCTACTATAATTTTGATACACATATGAGCAGAGACATTCTAAACTCCATAATTGAAGAGCTACATAAAATTGGGTTTAACGTACTTTCCATAGTCAATGACATGGGTTCTGCAAATATGGGCTTATGGCGAAGTTTAAATATATCAATCACCAACACTTCATTCCCACATCCTATAACAAACAAAAATATTTATGTATTTGCAGACGTACCACATTTAATTAAGTTAGCAAGAAATCATTTACTTGATCAGTAAGTAGATTTACCTTGTACTATATTAAAATTAAATTCATAATTCCAATATATTTACCAAACTTTTAGAGGTTTTATTCTTCCCAATGGAAAATATATAGGAAAAAACATGTTTCAAGAATTGGTGGATTTAAATAATGTGGATTTTAGAATGGCACATAAATTGACACAACACCATATTTCAGTCGAGGGAACAGGCAGAATGAATGTCAGATTAGCTGTTCAACTTTTTTCCAATACTGTTGCTAAAGCTCTATTACATTGCGAAGAAAATAATTATATAAAAATCAACAACTTAAAGGATGTAAGTACTGTTTATTTAAATCATTATGCAACAAACCTTTGATTTAATTTCTTAACATTTAATCTTAAGAGGATGTTAGCACACTATTTGTTTTCTCTCTCTGACTCATGCGCATAATACAGAAAATGTTATGTTCACAATAGTGATTATAATCATATAATTAATTTCTCAAATGAGAGTGAAATTAATATGATTAAGACTGTGCTGACATCCTCTTAAGAATTTAGTAAGCTAATAAAAAATATTTAAAAATAAAAACAATGTAATCATTTGTAAAAACAGGCCTCTGAAACTATTTCATTGTTTAATGATTGGTTTGACCTATTCAACACCCAACACAAATTTGATAATGGTGTAGCAAGTTATGGTCTTGATGAAATAAATCAGAATAAATTAATTGATAAAATGAGTGAATTTATATTTAATATGAGGGTTCACGGGAAAAAATCCCTACTTCCATTCCAAAGAGGTAGGTTGATTATATTTCAACATTATTATTTATTACTTGTTTAGAGAACAGTAAAATTAAAAATAAAATTAAATATGTATTAGGCATATTGATAAGCAACAAATCCGTCAAAGGTTTACTGGATGAACTCAAACATGAAAAATGTTCATTTATTTTAACCAGGAAGGTCAACCAAGACGGTTTGGAAAATTTTTATAGTTTTTTAAAGGGAATGGTGGGATCAGCAAGCAATAAGATGACAGTCCTAGATTTCAAATATTGGTAAATACTTGAAATTATGAATTACCTACTATATTTATGAATTATGAGATTATTTAAATTGTTATTAAATTAGATATTTAACAATTCAAATATTTTTACCATTCAGTACTACTCATTTCATTTCAGTTTACGATGGAGTATTTTAGGTAAAAATTCCAATTTTATTTTTACCGAGAATACAAATACAGAAGTTGGACTTGAACCAAACATTTTAGATGAGACAATTTGCTTGACTAGTAAGATAATCAAAGAGTCAAAGTTATTGCCATCTCAAGATTTTGCAGAATATCACGATGTTGAGTTGGCAAATCTTGAAACAGAATTTGGTATGGCGTCCACAACAGTTCCACAGCAAAGTTTGGATCTTTTAAAGCAATTTGAAGTATATATAATATATTGTATTAATAAAAATAATTTACATGTTGTAAACTGATTACTTACAAATTGTATTCTTCTTTTTTGAATCATGAAGGTTGAAAATTATGAGCCATTTGGACAATTGGAGGAAGAATGTGCTCAGTATGTCGCTGGATATGTTGCTTCTAGGTTTTGTCATAAATACCCAGATTTAATTGACGAAACAGGTGAAAACGATGCTGGTTGGATAAAGCAATTGTCAAAAGGCAACCTGAAGATTCCTTCTACAAAAATGATGAAAGCTGTAAAAATTTTAGAAATAGCTTTCATAAATTTCCATGGTGATGATTTGGTTAAGACACCTTGGGTTATGAAAACTTTAACAGACATAGTATTACCAGAAATTAATTACCTGAATATACCTCGTGAAGTTGTTAATTGTCTTGTACGAACCAGGACATTTGTAAGAATGAACAACTTAAACAAAAATGTAATGGAAAAACAGTTACATACTAACCGAATTAAAAAGTTAAAATTTACAAATTAAACAAGTACCTACCTATTTATTTTCCAAAATAAATTGTTTAATATATATATTTTACTTCCTATTTTGTCATCCTGCGAATTATTTAACATTTCAAACTCAAACAGATTGATTTTTTAGTACATATAATAATATTGAGATTTGAGAATAAGACGTAAGTAGTAAGTACCATGACATACTAACATCATCATTCATCACTCATCTGCGAACCGGCAGAAATAATAATAAAAATAATAATAATAATAATATCGGAGAACGAATGACGTCATTTTTGTGGAGGGAGAACCAGAGTATTGCGTATCACAAAGTTGATAGCATACCTATCTATTTTGTCATGGGTGGCACTATAGTGAGGTTAGTGGGAGGCGTAAAAACGTTAAATAAATAATAATTATCATTTTCTGTTGGGTTGAATTGGACATGTTGAGCCTTGTCGCGACGCCGTTCTTAATCCTTGTTCTCGACAATGTTCGTTAATGGTGTCCATGTTCGGTGATCGACTGTATCCCACTGTTCACGTTATGTAATCGTGCTAAAAATATTATGTAAAAAAAAAAAATTAAACTGAACCGCCGCTCATGTGTCTCGTGTTATTTCGCGTAGTGTTTTATTAAGACTTTTACCTGAACGTTGAAAATGGCCACGATGAACATCTCTAACTCTATTGGGTTGATTGATTTGGTTTATGTTCCTGTTTGATTTGTAGGTAGTACCTATTATTTGTGGTAAGTCTTATTTGTTTATTTACATTAACGTTACTATAAGGTATTGTATTTGGTTCCCATTATTAAATTATATATTTTACACTAAATAATTTATTAACATTTACAGTGTAATTGGGTACGTCTAAAAATATTTGAAATAATGTATTGACATATATAAATATATTAGTAAGGTTGTTGATTTAATTTATACAACAAATAGTTTATTAGTTAATAACACGTATTTTGTATTTTAATAGTTGATAGGTATATATTATCTGTTTGTTTAATTATCTACCAGTCTAGGTGATCTAATCAACATAATATTTTAAGACCTAGGTTTTAAATATAGGTAGTAAAATATCTAAAATATCTACCGTGCATTTAAGTAAATATTATTTTAACAATTTATATTTTATGATTAATTTATTGTACATTTGTTAAAATATTTAGATATTATTTATTTTATTGATACCTTAATTGATCGGGACATTAGGTATATAATATGTTCTTTTATCTTAATAATGGTTTTAAACCATGTCGTTATGCCATACCTTATGTTCCACATTTACATTTCCCTAAAGATTTTTTATTATGAAATGTGAAATATTAACTGTTTTATTACATAATATTGTAAAACATTTTACATATTATATACCTAATATTAAAAATAATTTTGTTAGGTTAAACAATAGAATAAAAACGAAAATAATAGTAGCCTAGTAAATCGCTCGCTGAAATTGGGGCTCAATCGTTTATATAGTCCCTACTGTACCCAATTGTAGTTAATCTCTGTTCCATACTTCCATAGTAGTGGTGTTTCATATAACTTTCATCATTGAATAATCAATATTATTGTCCTGCTCTTTTCCCTGGTAATTGGCATTAATGTTTAATGACTGTGGGTAAACAACAGAAAAAAAATAAACATTTCCTGGTATTAATAATAAATAAAAATCTATGCAAGGAAAAAAATACAAAAAAAAATTTTTCTTCGGAACAATTTAGTTTTTAAATACTAGACGTATTACCTACTGAAATTCCTACCATTTAATACATTTTATTTTCATCACCTAACTTTTGATAAACATTTTGATATTTTAACTGGTTTGAGCAAAGTACAGTTTACTTAATTTATAGGTATAGAAGGGTACCTCGTGCCCTGCTTACATAAGTTAAACATTTATAAGTTGCTAGATAAACTCTCGTATTCAGTATACAGTGTGTTCACGCTAAGAGGTACCACTGAATATCTCGGATGGGTGACATTGTATTGAAATGGGATTTTCGGGAGATGATAGGGAGCACTTAAATACATATATTCAGACCAGTTTCAAATTTTTAGCTCACTCGGTCTACAACTTACTTTTTTTTTAGATGGCAACCCCAATTTTTTTTTGTGCAGGTTCGGGTAGAGTATTTTTTTCAAACATTTATTGTATAGGTAAAAAGTTTTTTTCTATTTTCAAAACTGACCAAGTTAGAGTAAGTCAAAAATTGGATTTATGCATAACTCGTGTTTAATGATAGGTATTTTCATTTATAACCATTGGAAATAATAAAATAAGTACCAAAAAAATTTGTTAGCTATTAGCTAGATAGTATTTATTTGTTAGTTGTATGATATTAATAGTTTTTGGAGTTGAGTGCTGAGACAATGTTGTCAATGAACAGTGTCCAAAAAAATCTTAAATTTTCTCATAGGTTTTGAAATACCTAAAACTAAATTTTAAAGTAGTTTGAGTATAAGATCATTTTATTTGTACGCGATACATTTTTAATTAATAGAATGAATTTTTCTGTGGTTTTTTTTTCCGGGATTCTTTTAAAGTATAACCTTTTAGTAGTATATTTCTTGTGATCTGCAGAACATTCAAGTAATTTTCTTGAATTAAAATTAATTTCAGATATGCCTCCCCAAACACTAAAAAGACCTACAGAAGATGTGAGTTATAGTAATGGTACGTACATTGTACATGTAAAAGGAGTTTGTAATTCCCCAGGCATATGTTAATATTAGAGTTATTTAGTTTAAGTATAATATGATTTGTTTCAATTTAATTATAGATGAGGACGAGTATGACACATGGGTAAACAAAAAAAAGTCAAGATATTTATATACATACAAACTAAAATCACAATCACCTGATTTATTTCAAAATATAAATGATTCAGATGAATCTGAAAGTATTCATAGTACCCAATCCAAAGCTACAAGTAATAATTTTTTAAAAATATTTAAGTTGACTTAAATTTAACTTAAATATTTGACGTGAAGTGTTACAATTGTGTGATTTAAAACATATAATACCACTAAGTTACTAACTTTCGAAGAGTTCCATCATCGCATGCTTCATGTGTTTTGTTTATTATTATGTATGTCTGTACAGTCTTCGCTTTTACTTATTGTATTATAAATACAAATTGTAAATTTTCTTAAAAATTAAAAAAAAAATTACTAACTGAAAGTCCGGATTAAGGGGAGGGGATTTGGTAGTAGAATAAAAACACAAATAATAAAAGTTACAAGTAATTAATCGATATTAATAAAATAAGTCTGATTTTCAATTATTTGTTGAAATAATGATACTAATGATTGTTTTAAGTGTATGTTGCTAGAACATGAAAATAATTTTAATAACATGAAAATATATTGTAATTACTGTATGAACAATTTGATTTAGGTTACATATTTAAGATTAAAAGTAACCAAAGACTAAGAATGTGGTTTTGTTTGTCAATAATTTCTTAATTTTAATAAATTTAATAATTTAGGTAGTGATTTTAGATTTTGGAGATAATAATCTTTAATACCTCTGCTTCAACTTTTTACACACAGATTTTTATGGGTACTGAGATCTATCTGACTTAAAGCCCTTTTGCGATAAATAGTCTTAATCCGGGCTTTATTAACTTAAATAATATACTATAATAATTAATAATAAAGTAAGATAGGCATTAGGTTTAATGCTCAAAATATTTAAACTCATATTAGTATTTACTTTATTTATATGTATACATATATTTATGTATGTTTGTTATATACATTATTTATGAGAATATTTTATTGGCTACACACCTGGATTATTTTTTAATTATTTGTGATTTGTATTATTATTTCTTTTAAAGTTTTATTACAGTATTAGTATAACAGTTAAAAAAAAAATTTAATTAGTTTAGTCAGCTATGATTAATCATATTGATCAACTTATAAATGTACACATTTTGTCTTAAAGACTTAAGTTTGTGTTTATTCACCTTTATATAATTAACTGAATATTGTAATAATCTAGAAAAAAAATAATTTTATAAATCATATTCTATTATATATACAATGTTTATCAATGCAAAAATAATATTATGTTCAATCTATTTTTATTTTATTTTAGTATTGAACGTTAATTTCTAAATTAACAACTAATTATAAATATTTATAATTAATTTCAATAAGCATAGTTTTGATATGAAGAAGAATCAAACTTCGTCATCTATTCTGGATCAAACAAGAGTTGACATGTATTAGTTCACTACAGTTCATCAAATTAGACAATTCATGCACCACGTCAATTTTTAATTTAATTTTATACATTCTGATTATAAGTTTTAACTAACTCAACTTTTTTTTCAGTGGAGGTAGCAGATCTTCTTGATTTTTCATCTGTAACAAGTTGTTACACAGACTGTGATTGTGACGATTCTAGTCAAAGTGATTGTGACTATATAAGTTCAAGTCAATCAGATCCATCAGAATGTGAGGAAGTAAGTATTAATAATTATTTTATAATAATTTAAACTACAATGCACTCTCGATTATAAGTGGAAAAGGGTGGTATGGAATCCACAGATAAAACTTTTTGGCACTTGTTTGTTATCGCCCCCGCCAATACATTGCATAAAATTTATCGCTATTGCTAATCGTTTGTGATGTATTTTTATGATATAGGATATTAGTTCGTTGCTGTCTTTCATTTACCATTTCATTTACTTATTACATACTAAAAATTTGAAAAATTTAATTTAATACGTTAAGAATTTTACTGAATTACTTACAATTGTTTCAAACAGTGATACTGGAATTAGCTTTTTACAACAACATAATATAGATAAAGTTAGTGAAGTTTGTTAAAATGGCCATATAATGTTTATCAAGGGATCGCGATGGCGATGTCAGAAAAGAAGTTGCCAAAAGGAAAAAGGACTAATAATTAATAATTGGCTAACTGGTTCTAGACTACCAATACACACAATTATCCATTTCATATACTACTGGGCCCCAGAAATGTCTTCAGTAAAATTTTGTAAACGTGAACTAAATATGGCACAATATGCTGTGGTTGATTGGAGTAATTATCTACTTGGGGTGTGTATGGAAGCTTGAAAATAATCAAAATAAAGAAATTGGTGGTCCCGGTATTTTTGTTGAAATAGATGAAACTTTATTTGTGTGTAAAAAAAATAATGCTGGGCGTATTCTACCACAGCAATGGATTTTTGGTGGAATATGTCGGGAAACTAAAGCGTGTTTTATAATCAGCGTAACTGATCGATTGGAGAAAACATTGTTACCTATAATACAAAGATATATAAGATCAGGCTCAATAATTTCGTCAGATTGTTGGAAAGCTTATAATAATTTGCAGCAAGTGGGACTCAAACATAATACTGTTAACCACACCTATAATTTTGTCGATCCGGACACAGGGGCTCACATCCAAAATATTGAGAGGTTGTGGGGTTCTGCTAAATGGGGCAATAAAAAGCGTCGTGGAACTAACAGAAATTTTCTAGAATCATATTTGGCAGAGTTTATGTGGAGAACACGTCACAAGACACATTTGATACTATCCTCGAAGATATTTCCGAATTCTGGCCTCCATTATAACTATAGATTCATATATTTTATACATTTTTATACATATTTTATATTTTATACATTTTTGAATTTAAATTTTATGCTATACATTTATATATTTAAAATAAAATAATATTATACATTGAAATATTTTTTTTATTTGTGGAGGGGCGATAACAAACAAGAGTGGCGGGGCGATAAATTTTATACGGTGTACTGACGGGGCAATAACAAACAAGTACCAACTTTTCTGCTGATAATACTCAAAAATCAAATTGAAACAAAAATGCAAACATAGTAAAAAAATTAAATCTTGTAATGTTAAATGGTTTTTAAGGAAAATTAAATTTGAACACCTATTTTTATTTTAACATCCATATAGTATAATGTATAGTTTTTATATACATTTATTTTTTAACAAAAGTTATTTGTACATGGTACCGCGGAAACCAAGGATAATCAAAATTATACTATTTATTTATTCTTCAAATTATTCTGCAATATGCCAATATTAAATAGCAACAATGACTATAGATATTTAAATAAGTAATAATATTAATAAGAGCAATTTTAATTTAATATTCGGGGGACGAGGTGGCCGAGCGGTCAACGCGTCGGCTGCGGCGCTGATCCTCGACCACTGGCCGGCATTTTTCTCTGGGCAAGTCACGGTGTCCGGAGAACAAGTGCCACCATCCCCCACTCCGGGGCATGGCAGAAACCAACGGGTGCCCCATTCGAAATTCTGCCAAAACACAAACACTCACGTGTAAACCCCCACCAACAAAAAACCCTATCATCACCACCTTACAACCTACTAACAGCTAATGGCCATAGATGCCGAGCTTAAGAATCAATAAAAAAAAATAATAATAATAATAATATTTATATTTATTATTAATTATTATAGTAAACATCACTGTACACAATATTATCTTACAATCAGAAGCCTCAGATTCATAGGTATGTGTATATAGCAGATTGTACCATATAATATTGATCATTGTTTGGGCACTCAATAGTTTTGGATATACATACTATGTATGTACCTCGGTATGTACTTACTACAGGATTCTTAAAAACCCAATTTATTTCATAAGAAGTTTTAATTTTTACCAGAGCTTTACTTATGAATTTTGGTGGGTCCCTTAACTTAAATTATAAGTTCTGTTTTTTTTTTTGCTATTTCGTTTTTTTAGATTCTGAGCAGAGTGGAGCAATGAATGTATTGATTTTACAATAATGTATGTGTACACAATAAATAGTCGAGAGAATGCTTCAATTTTCAACTTCAGTATCTTGTTTGTTGGGAAAGAGAATCCAGTTGGTGCATTTGAGAGGTTTAAAATTCCCTGTAGTTTTAAAAGTGCAAAAACAAAAAAAAATTAAGGAAAATGGGAAATTTTATATTTGGTTTTTGGTGTAACTCTAAAATAAATTACTGTAGAATGTAGAAACGTAACATTTACACTGAATGTTTTATTAAAATTTTATATATACTTACACCATACAATTTTCAAAATATTTTGATTCATGTTGAGGTTGGGTTAAACATATGAAATTTTCAATGATTATAATTTTTTTTTTAAATAAATGTAAATAAAAAATGTTTTCTCTTTAAAAAAAAACTTACAATGTTCATCATAAGTAGTTGTTAGTGGAAATAAAATTTAAAAAAGGTGGGTAAGTGGATGACACTGCTGTACAGTAGGTTAGAAGTGGGTCACTGTATAATGGATGGTATTTAATTTTTTATTCAATGATATAATTTTATTGTATACAGAAAAAGATTCTGAGTGGAGATTGTTTGTCTGTGTGGATATTTTGTATTATATTTATATTGTTATTACTTATTATCAGGGCTCGTAAGTTCATGCAGTTTTTTTTTTGCTACACAGGAACACATGCTAACTGAGATACTAATCCGGATCATAACATGGGTGTTAAGGTATATTTGGCATATAGTGAACTTTTTACAGTTGTTAGTACATATTATTTCATATAAATATTTTTGACAAATATTTGAAAAGTTTCTTGTTTCTTATTTAGTCCCAGTTAAAAAATTATAGTGTTTTGGTTTATTTTATTCAGTGTGTATGTGACTACCTAGTGTCCTAGTACATACCTATTAAGAGTTTATGCGTTTTACGTAGTACCGGAAATAATGTAATCGCTACTACTACCATCCTTCACCTACAAAGTCATGGTATGTTACCCTTCGTGTGCGAGTCCCACTTGCACTTGGCCGGTTATTTTACATAATGCATATTTTGAGTGCATAATTTTAAAATATTAGGGCATATAAATGCATATTTTTGAACTCTTTAGTACATATTTTAATGCATATTTAGACAATTTTTTAGTGCATGAATGCATGCTTATTTGTGCATTTTTTAGTGCATGAAGTTACGAGCCCTGTTTATTATTAATACGGTAGCCGGAAAGTTGAATTATAATATTAAAAAATTACAATAAAACAACTAAATTCTATATTCTCGGTTATTTAATACACATGTAATTTTGTCCAAAAGAGAACATAATATAACTATAAAAAAAACAGTTAATGTATTTTTGAGATTTTTTGGTTACAGAATAACATAGAACTTTGTTTTAAATTTTCAAACTTTATCTATAAAAGTTGAACATTTTATACATTTTTAACAACAAAATAATTTTTAAATTTTAAATTTGATTAATGTTGTCAAAAATTAAATTTTAAAAGCTTAAATTTCCTAAATTTTCTTAACAGCTTGAAAATATACAAAATATTTTGAAAAATTTATCAAGTATAGGATTTGATAAAATCAACATATTTTATAAATTTCAAATGTTTACAGTTATTTGAATTAATTATAGAATTTTTGAATTACAGCAAAATAAGAAAATTACTACATTAGAAATCTAGTATATATACAATATTATAAAAATATGATCTTCAAACGCTCATAAAAATATAATTTGACTGTCTTGTATGCTTTTAGATTCTGAGTGGAACGATGAATGTATTGATTTTCAAATGTGTGTTTTTTTAATTTTATTTTTTATTCTTGTGTCTGTCATCACCTTTTAGGACAGTAAAAATGCTTAGATTTTCTTCAACAGTATCTTTTCTGATAGGAAAGTGAATCTAGTTGGTACTTTTGAGCTTCAAAAGTAAAAATTCCGCAGCAGTTTTCAAAAGCGCTTTGAAAAACAAAAAAAAATTAAGGAAAAACTGGAATTTTTACGCATAATCGAGAAAATCAACTTTGGTTTTTGGTGCAACTCTTAAACAAATGACCGTAGGTACATGAAATGTTGACTGAATGTTTATATTAGCATTAACTATACACTATAACATTTTTTAAATATTTTGAGCTGATTACGGACATTTTCAGTTTCCATTTTTTTAGTTTTTTTTTTACAAAATTTTATTTGTTGGTTAAAAAAGCTTGAAAATTTAAAAGAAGGCTCCTAGTATATTGTTTCAAAGGCAGATGAAAAAAATTGAAAATCCATTGTCACAATTTTTTTATAAGCATTTAAAGTTCAAATATTGACAAAAACATAGAAATTACAAAAATTTGAAAATTATTTTGAGTTAGAAATTCAAAAAAAATTTTCTTTTTAAATCTAAGATTTGAAAATGTAATACAAGATTCCTCATAAGTTCGTCTACCTTTATCAAAAAAAAATGTTTACAAGAATATCAAACTACATTTTTATGAGCGTTTGAAATTCATATTTTTACATACATTTTTGTTATTCACTCGATTTCTCATGTTACCTTTTTATTATTTTATTGTAACTAAAAAACGAATGGCATTTTCTATACACCATACAATTTTGAAAATAATTTAACACTTTTTGAACTGTTTACGGCCAGTTTTTTTTCTATAAATATCAATAAAATGTTATTTGTTAGGTAAAAAAACTTGAAAATTTAATGCAAAGCTCCTGATATATTGTTACAATAGCAGTTGAAAAATATTTAAATTAAATAGTCACAAATGTTTTTTATAATCATTTAAAGTTCAAGTTTTGATAAATTTATCGCATTTGAAATTTAATAATTATTTTGTAGTTAAAAATTTGTAAAATTTTCAACTTTTATAGCTAAAGATTGAAAATTTAAAACAAGATTCCACTTAAATAGGTTATATATAAATTACTTTATTCGCCTTAATATCATGAAAATATATACTTAGTAATATCATAACTAGGCTGACCGACCGTTTTCGCTCAAAATCGTTTTTCTTAAAAATGATATTATGTCATTGAATTCAAATTTAACACCATCCATTACAGTGACCCACTTGTAACCTACTGTACAGCAGAGCGACATCCACTTACCCAACTTTTTTTTGATAAAGGTATACAAATTTATGAAACATGAAATTTGTACCAAATGTATATCTTATCATTTACTTGGTACAATTTTCAAAATATTTTGACTTGTTTTGAGCGTTTTACTGACATTTTTAGTTTTCAATTTTTTAGTTTTTATTTCTATAAATGTTGTTACAATTTTTTTCGTTGGGTCTCAAAGCTTGAAAATTTAATACAAAGTTCCTGATTTATTGTTACAAAATATTTAAAATACATGTGCATGGTTTTTTTTAAGTATTTTAAGTTCAAATATTGACAACATTTATCAAATTGAAAATTGATTTTGTAGCTTAACAATTTATAAAATTTCAACTTTAAAAGGATTGAAAATTTAAAATACCAGGTTACGGGAAGCAGCTCTCCCTAGTGTCCCACCCTAAGTAGAGCTCTGATTTTTATTTTTTAGACACATATACTTTATTAGTTTTATTAACTGTTTTCACAAAAAATTTTCTTGTTCTCAAAATGTCTAATTGTTGACTTTTGTCATTATAGTCGCCAGAGTGCAATATGACATAATATTGTTTATCTAGGCCCAAGTGGTATATACTCTATATTTTTGGGTGAGCGCAAGTATGCAACGCTATGTTGTAGATATTGATGAGTGATGACAAAAGACATTGCATATTGATAAGTTATCAAGAAATATTTAAAAAAAAGGTGGGCAAGTGGGTGTCGCTCTGCTATACAGTAGGTTACAAGTGAGTCACTGTATAATGGATGATATTAAATTTAAATTCAACGATATAATATCATTGTATAAGAAAAACGATTCTGAGCGGAGACGGTATGTCAGTTTAGGTATAAGACATATTATATACATATCTATGGTATTAAACAAAAAATTGACCTATAATAGGTTAGGTTAGGTACCTACAATAAATTCAAACTTAATCATATCACAATATCCATTAGGTACTTATAACGCGTTATACATCAACAAAAACCGTGATACTATCATAGATATATAATAGTACACTTTAGAAGTCTCAAGTACCCACGAATAATATTCAATCACAACAAAATAACTAAAATAGTTATTCTAGGTTTTTAATATGTAATTTTGTCCAAATATGAATTTAAAATGTCTGCAAAAAATAACTGTGCTCATATATTTTTTAGATTTTTTGGCTACAGTATGAACTATTTATGAGAATCTTTTTTTTAAATTTTCAATCCTTAGCTATAAAAACTGAACATTTTATAATTTATTAATTACAATGATTGATAATTTTCGAGATTTTGATAAATTTTGTCAAAATGCGATCTTTAAATTCTTATAAAAAAAAATTGTGCCTATGTATTTTTAATATTTTTCAATTGCTATTGTAAAAATATATCATTAGCCTTGTATTAATTTTTTACACTTTTTGGCCCAACAGATAAAACCTTATTGATATTTATAGAAAAACAAAACTAAAAAAATTGAAAACTGAAAATGTCCGTAAACGGCTCAAAAAGAGTCAAAATATTTTCAAAATTGTATGGTGTATAGGAAATGCTAATATAAACATTCAGTGAAATTTTCATGTATCTACAGTAATTCGTTTTTGAATTACAACAAAATAAGGAAAATTCGTGATTTTTCCATATTTTGTCATTTTTTGAACTTTAAATGCTTAAAAAAAAAACTGTGACTAAGGATTTTTAATATTTTTCATCTGCCTTTGAAACAATATAGTAGGAGCCTTGTATTAAATTTTCAAGTATTTTTACTCAACAAATAAATTTTTTTTGGAAACTAAAAATGTCCCTAAACAGTTCAAAATAAATCAAAATATTTTGAAAATGTTATCGTGTATAGAAAATGCAAATATAAACAACCACTGAAAATTTTATGTATCTACGGTCATTTGTTTTAAAGTTACACCAAAAACCAAAATCGATTTTCTCGAAAACAGATTTTGCGTAAAAATTCCCGTTTTTCCTTAATTTTTCTTTTGTTTTTCCCGGTGCTTTTGAAAACTACTGGGAATTTAAATTTTGACCTCCCCAATGTACCACCGATATTCACTTTCCAATCGAACAAGATACTGAAGTTAAAAATCGAAGCATTATTTCGACTATTTATCGTGTACACAGACATAAAAAAAATAAAAAAACACACATCATTGTAAAATCAATACATTCATCGTTCCACTCAGAATCTAAAAGTATATTTGGAAACATTTTAATTGAAAGTATAAATATCAGACGAATCAAATAATATTCGAACAAGTGGTATCAAAATTGTAAATAATGTGAACTCCGTGATCACCAGACACTACAATACCAATGATGGGTTATTGTCAACTAAAATGTTTATTCATGTGCCACATTATTAATTATTTTAATAACTTTGTTCATTTTTAGGTTGAAACAAAGAATATCATCCTTGACATTGAAAAGAAGAGTTACATTTCTGAAGATACAGATTCACAAATATTCATTTCAGAGACAAATTTCAAATCTCCAGTAGTTTTTGAAAAATGCTGTCAATGCCTAAAACCAAATTCCAACCATAATTTTCAATACTGTAATCAGTGTTTTAAAGTAAGTTACATAGTAAAATGAAAAATTTTTTTTTTCAAGGTAGATATTTAATCTGTGCCGCCCTATGCCTCAATAAAAATGTGTGATAAAAGATTATTTACATAACTACCTTTTGTTTTTCTCTTTTTATTTATTTGTTAATTAATTTTTAAGTCCGCGTGTAAAGTAAAATATGAAATTTAAGGTTGGGCATTAGTGATTGTGCTTAAGATTTCGTTTTGAAGAGTTTATTTTTCTCTTGTGTTGGTGGCCATAAGGCCTATCTAGGGATTTATAAATGAGTAGTTTGATACTTATTTTAGTGTGTTTGTTGGATATTTTGATCAAGTGGAGTCTTGCGTAAAAGACTAAGTTTTTTTATCTCATATGAGAGACGGCAGTTAATGGTTAGGACTAAGTACTTGAGAAGATAAAATTGGGATGTTACCTTAGTAAAAATGAAAAATATGATTTATTCTGGGGCTATTAAACTATACCAAATTAATGTTACTATGTGAGATATACATTGTGTCCCGTCTTATATGTACCACTAAATATCTCAGCCCGATGGCCTCAAATTTAAAAACGGTTTGCTGTGATAGATAGTTGGTAGGTACCAAAGTACACATTTTGCCAAAATTTCAAAAACTCCTTTGGTTCGCCTTCGTGCAGTGCAACTTAAGTTTTTTTTAATAGCAACCCTTATTTTTGACACCAGATATGGATAGATAATTTTTTTTAGTACATTTTGATTCATTGACCATAATCTTTGACCTAAATTTGTCCAAGTTGCAGGCAAACAGAGTTTTTAAAATTGAAAATAATTAAATTTTTCGAAAAGCATGGTACACTTGTATTGAGTGGATTTTTTAATGAATAGATAAATGCAAAAATATATGAATACATGATACATATATACATAATTATACATATATAATAATGAAACAAAAAGTAAAATACTTTGTATTATCTAATTTTTATTTGTGTACATTTGTTTATCTAATAAAATGTTCTAAACATATTTCCAGTCGTCGAGTTACTTGTCTGTGCGTAGCTGCCAAAATTTGTTCTTTTGTTCTTTCTTTTGCAAGCTACCGTGATTTTATTTTTTAAATAAGAATTTGAAATTTTTCCAAAATGTGAACATCAGTACCACCTAACTATCACAGCAAACCGTTTTTAAATCTAAGGCCATCGAGATGAGATATTTAGTGGTACATATAAAACGGGACACTCTGTAGATATTGGAGAAAAAAACTAAACTAATATTTTAATTTGTAATTGTTTATTATTTCTTTAGTATCGGATGCAATTATTTGAAAGCACATCAAATCCAAAACCGAAGAGAATCAAACGGTTATACGATATGGCCAACCGTGCAGAAGAAAATTATTTGCCTAAAGATTGTCAATCATCTTCCACCTCAAATTCCCAAGAGTCCTTAAATTCACTTGGAATCTCTGGTCTATGTTTATCGCAAGATGCTTCTAATACATTTGAAAACGCTACAAACAATTGTAATATTTGTTTTTTGAAACCTAAAAATGGCATTTTTAACCATGGCAAAACGGCGCATGTATATTGTTGCTACACATGTGCCAAACATATATGGAGTAGATCGGGTAAATGTCCTATTTGTAATTTAAAAATTAGATATGTTACGAAAGCTGTTCGTGTTTGATTATGTTATTTTAATTTCATAAAATCACCTATCTATGTATATTCTTATACCTATGTAAAATGTAAAATGCATATATAATATAATATATTTTATACTTTTAATAAATGCTATATTATATACATATAAGACTAATTTTTTGAATATAATATATTATATTATAACTTGAAAAATGTATGTGTTATTTCTGGGTATCTTAATTTTTTGTTAAGGGGATCGGTGGCGGCGTATATTTAAGGAGTTCAGGATAGGCAATATTTATAGTGCGTGCGTGTGTGACTTGAGACTGTGTGTGTAGTAAATGATTATTAGTGTGTGTACGTGTCCCCGCACCGTACCATGTTTACCGTGGCATGCGATAAGGATAACCGATGGTTTCGAAGAATCACCTGCACGCGCGGCACAAGTCACCACCGCGTTGTCGCGCGCGTGAACAATCCAGAACGTGTGTTTTATTTGATTAAAACTATGTACCTTATGTCAATCCTACAGATTGATCTAATAATGCGATAATATTTCAGAAAACTAATCTGAATTCGTTATGATGTCGACTTGAGATCGGTCAGTCCACATTTTAAGATTTTTGATTTTAATTCCGAAAAATTAACGTTTGAAAATTCCTAAAATTTAAAATATTCAAACCAAATGTATAGGAGTTGGGGGGTAAAATTTGGAAAAGTGGACTGACCGATCTCAAGTAGACATAATCACAAATTCAAATCAGTTTTAAAAAGTATTATCGCATTTCTAGGTCGATCAGTACGATTGACAAAAGACTGGTATATTTTGGCTAAAATAACTGATCGCCACCAATCCCCTTAACCAATATTAATTGTAAAGTGGGATTTGTCAATTTGAAACAAAGATTAAAAAGTTTATATTATATAAAATAACAATGCTACTACTAAACAAAATAATATAATATTTTAGCAATGATTATTTTTTAGTTCAATGAAAAAAAAGTGGGCAAGTAGATACCTTTCCACTGTATATAAGGTCCTAGATGTCCAGTGTACCTCATCATACGAAACACTATTCTGAGCTGAAACAGTCTGTCGGCCTTATTGTTATAGTTAGTATTATTTATATAATGTATCATTGTTATTGACTTTAAGTCAATAAAGACTTACCTTAGAACAGTATGTATATGTTGTATAATGCCTTAAAATTAATCTAAATATTTTGAAAATATCTATTGAGTATGGTAAAATATTAGTATATTTATAAAGTGTCAAGTTCCCAAGGATAATATTTTTTAATTATACTAAAATATCTAAAATTATTATTATTTGTTGTTGAATATCCAATCTCTAAATTTGGACATTAATCGGTCATAAAATTTTTTTTTACTATACATAGTAATACTTTTTGAATTGTCGTTAAATTAACTTATGAGGAATATTGCAAACACTTTTCAAGTCGTTTATGATTAAATTTGAAATTGTATGATTTTTTAACTACAAAATAATTTACAATTTTTGTGGTTTTGATGAATATTCTTACCTTTCCTGATAATATTAAAACGAATGAGAATTTTTAATTTTAACTGCCCAAAAGTACCAACTAGATCCAACTAGATATAAAAAAGCGTGTAAGTGTGTGTCTCTTTGCTGTACAGTAAGTTATAAGTATGCTGTACAATATGTTAAATTTTAATTCAATGATGTAAAATCTTTATGTATACAAAACGATTCTGAGCGAAGAATGTCTGTCAGCCTTTAATATAGCTAAGTATATTTGATGATATTGTGATTAAAGTAATTTTTTTTAATATTAGGCATTATAACAGAGTAGGTTAAATTCATTTTTGCCAAAATAATTACATTTCATAATGTCATTGTGTCTAGAAAATATAACAACATTGATTATAAATATTTATAAATATTATAAATAATACAGTGTAAAAGTTTCATATACCCACTAATAATATTTTTAAATTAGAACAAAATAATAAAATTGTTATTCTTGATTTGTATATGTAATTTCATACAAATTTGAACTTAAAATGTAAGCAAAAATAACTGTGTTAATATATTTTTTAAAGTGTATGGTTATGGTATGAACCATTTATAAGAAACGTTGTCAATTCTTAGCTATAAAAATTGAGCATTTTATAATATTTTAATGACAAAATAATTTGAAAATTTTGTCAAAATCTGGACTTTAAATACTTTTAAAAACTGTTCGTACCTATATGGATCTTTAATATTTCTCAACAGCTATTACAACTACTCGTGACTCATATGTTATGAGGATAATTATATTCAATTTTCAAGCTTTTTGCCCCAATGAATAACATTTTATTAACATATTTTATAGAATAAAAAACTGAAAAAATTGAAAATTGCATGTCTAAAAATAACTCAAAACAAATCAAAATGGTTTGATAGTATAGAAAATGATTAAATAAACATTTGATGAAAATTTCAAATACCTATATAGATACGGATATTAGTTTTTGAACAACGATAAATTAAGAAAAAATGTCTTTGTTTTATAGTTTTTAGGGTTCCATACGGTAAACGCGACCTTATTACTGAGGCTCCGCTGTCCGTCCGTCCGTCCGTCTGTCTGTCACCAGGCTGTATCTCATGAACCATGAAAGTTAGAAAGTTGACATTTTCACAGATTATGTATTTCTTTGGCCGCTATAACAACAAATACTAAAAATCCTAGAATATATAATATAAGCAGTGTTTCCAACATGTTTATAGCTGATGATTGTACGGAACCCTTCGTGCTCCGTTTTTTAATTTACAGGTGAATCCAATGTTTTAAAAAGCTCGTAAGAAATTAGTTTGCCTCTGGTAAACTTTTTTTTGGTGTAATAATTTGACAATTTTCGTGGTTTTAATGAATTTTAAAGTCAGACACTCATAAAAAAAGATTGTGGATTTGCGCTCAACTTTTTTTCAACTACTAACAGATGATTAATGATAGACAAAAAAAAAACACACATTGTAATTTGTAAGTCAATACATTCATCGGAATCGCTCAAAATCTAAAAAATATAAATCATTGCAATATTACTTTGCTTGGAATATATTATAGTATAGATGTACTATGAATGTTAGTTTTTCACATTAAATACATTTTATTTTTTTGATTAAAAAAATTAAAACTATGTTTGTATTTAAACAATTGATTTCGTGATTTAAAAATATATTGCCAATGATTTCATATAAATTATGAATTATTAAAGGCGTAGTAGAACTTGTATGCAATTTTACTTGATAGCATAGATAAATATTAAAACATTAACTTTGTAATTTACATTGTTATTTGTTACATTAACATCTTATTTCATACATTTTTTATCATATGAATAAAAAATAATCTTTCTCCCTGAGTGAGAATATCGAAACTGGATTATAACGTTCTATAGACTTCTAGTCGTTCTAGATATGCTTATTAGTTCAAATGCTAATTGCTCCAACAGTTATGTCATAAATGGTAATTGGAAGAATATTAATAAAGTATATTGTATACATTTTTTGTGTAGGTACCTCTAATTTATGAGGACAACATTGCGCTGGTCATTTCGGCATCTAATGCAGACCTATAGTAGTCCTAGAGGACATTTGCAATCGGGCACTGGAACTAGTCAACCAATGGAAGCAGGTTAACGGATTGCAGGTGGCGTCGCAGAATTCTGAAGCGGTTTTCCTGACCAAAATAAGGGCGTACCGGAACCCTATCTTCACCTTAGGTTGGAAACAAATCCCAGTGAAGTCCTTAATGGCTCAATGAGGTATCTCAGGGTCCAGTTAGACACGGGGCTGAACTTTGGTGCTCATGTCAGGTTGGTGACGGCAGCAGCCAAGCGGACGGTGGTTACCGCTCTTGAAAGGTTAAGGTTCAACATGGCAACATCCAGGGGCCTTCAACATGACATGTGTATTATATAGAAACAATTCTCGGGCTTTGTAGAATTGTCGAATTTTAATAACTATTATTTTTTATCTGAAAGTTAGGCCTTAACCTACAGGCGAACTCCGATTTTTTATTTTATTTTAAATAATGGTATAAAATAATTAAATAATTGTAAAAAATCTAAAATGTTCTTATTTTAAAGACATATTATAAAGTTTGAAATTAAAATATTGAAAAACGGAATTTAATGTGGCCTGGAGAATATTATACCTTCTATTAGTTAAACATTTTTTTTTTTTTTTTATCAAATAGAGGGTAGGAGCGAGTAGGAATATTTTTGAGTGATATATAAATTAAAAAGAAGACTTGACCGTAATTAAAATGAATTTAAAAAAAACCCAGGGGCTACCGCTACATCACCCTCCACCCCATAAATCCACACCTGGAATCATTACTCCTGTAGGGCGTAGAGTGTATTTTTTTGCTCAAAGTGACATTGGCACCAGGTGAGTTAAAATTATAATGTACCTACATCGAACTATCGAAGTATTCAAAAATATCATAAATCCGTACCATAGTATATCATATAGGTATGACTGTATGAGTGTATGACCATAAATCTACGTTCATTCTGTCAGTGGTTTTTCCGACAATTGTGCAGTGTGTTGGTACAGATGGAAATACTATAGCAACAATTAATTATAATTAAATAATATAGGTAGTAGGTATACCTATGTATTTTGAATAATCCGTGATGGGTACTTAATATTGTTTTTTATTTTTTTGATGGAATATACCAACAATTTTTAATAATTAAATTAAAAAAACAAAAAAAATCCTAATATTCTCAAACTTATAACTTTAATTTTATTTATGTTATCCAAATAATAAAAACTCTACGACACAGATAAATTTGATCCCTATGCATTTTGGAATTTTGGTAATTCTATACTATAAATACCGATGAGGGAGTGGCAGGGCCGTATTTAGGGATTTTTCGCCCCCGGGCACAATATTTATGGCGCCCTTTTCCAACACATTTTTTTTAATACCATAGAAGTGGTGGCTAAATTTTATTTTTTTTTGGGGGGGGGGGCATAACATTAATTCATTTTTTATGTTTCCCTTTC